CACTCATTGTTATTCAGAAAAAAGGTTTTTTCCAAAAAAAAGTTTTTGTTTTGTTGTTTATAAATGAAGCTCCTATTGACATGTACTGTAGATGCACTAACTGTTTTCAATCAGATATTTTTTCAATTTTCTTTCGAAAGAAGAAGTGATATTGATTCACTATAGTTTAAATCTGAAAAGGAACGAAAAGAAACACTATGATGTGGGATTTTACTTGCGAGTTCTGGTCCAATGTTAGCAAAAAAATACAAAACGAGTTTGCTATATCTTTTGGATCAGTTACCGTGCAGGCCCATGTTTTAAATTATGATGGCGGAGAACTATATATCAATATACGAAACAAATAATTCGTTCATGCATGCTTATGTGATTGCAAACGGTGGTTCATAATTTGGGGATGATGTTGTAAATTGTTATAAAGTGTATTACAAAATATAAAGTTTGAAATGCAAGAAATTCTCAATTTTGATAAACGTCCGTCTTATAGAAATCACGAAAAATGCTGTTCTATGGATTTGGAAACTCAATTTTTTACCAGGTAGCATGTCCCAAGACCACTTAGTTTAATCCCACCGCTATAACAATTTGCTTCCGACGGCACTATTTCTATTTTCTTTTACCTGGCGAATAAAACCAGGCAGCTCCTATTGCTAGATCACCCATCTTGTTTAATGCTTGAATCTTTACTGTGTATGGTCTGCCCATTTTTAGGTTACTGAATGTGACACTTGATCTGTTGTATACTGTCATTGTTTTATTGTATTCTTTTCCACACGTCAAGGAAACATTGTAGCCACAACCGGTAAGGAAACTGGTATTCATATCTGGATGCACAAGCCAGCGAACAGTAGCTGTGGTTAATTTCACATTCATGACTAAAATGGGTAAAGAACATAGCAACATTAATTCAGTGTGATATTTTCATTTTCTATATGCATGTGTGTGTGCCACAAATCACTGTTTGTCGATAACTAATTTACAATTATTGTGGCAGGTAAAGAATCATAAAACATTAGATTATATTGGACCCTTAGCATTGCCGAACTTCGTCTCACTCGATTTAACTAACTGTTGACGGGATTTCTAGATAAAATGGTTGACCTATTAAGGGACAGTTGCAAAAAATGCGACTATCAGCCCTTTAATTGGCAGGATCGAACCAGCGGCCCTGTTATTCACCTTCAACAATTAATGGACAACTTGCATGTTAGACGAAATTTTAATCTAAGCCGAGAGAGGGGAATCAAACACCACAGCTAAAAAGAACATATTTAAATTAGTAAAAGTGCAAAATTTGGTTGCGAAATGTTGTAATTAAGCTTGGAAAATATAGCCTTGCAAAGTTTGCATATTTTCAGTATATTTGTATTACGAGCGGAAATTGTTACCATTTTGGGCTCAAAAATGGTAACAATTTCCGCACGTAATACAAATATACTGAAAATATGCAAACTTAGCAAAGCTATATTTTCCAAGCTTTACAACATTTCGCAACCAAATTTTGCAAGTTTACTAATTTTGATAAGTTCTTAACGGGAATTTACTTTTTTTTGCCTAGATCGGTTAGTTCAAAAACTTGTCTAACATGCAAGTTGTCTATTAGTTACACCGAATGAGATGCCCATGCAGAATCCTGATATTTACCAATATACACTGTATATTGGCATCACGTTAGTAAATATACATCAACTTGTGGTTAGAGCTCGACAACTGTCTCTCTGTGGCTCAGTTGGTTAGAGCGCTACACCGGAATCGCAGGGACGCAGGTTCGATTCCTGTCAGAGCGCCGATGGTCGTATTTTTCCCAACTCCTCCGGCTTAGGTCAAATAAATGTATCAAATTTCCACTCAAAATTTCCATCTAGAAAACCGTTCGGTAATACACATTATACAATAACTACAGTGAAACACGCAATTTGAATGGTCAACAGCCGTGCAGGATCAGACAATCCTGCACGGGAAATTCTGAACAGAAATTCTGAACAGAAATTCTTGCACATAATTTTACAAATATACTCGCATTGTAAAGTCTCATTTATACCATACCTTTCGACTTTGAAGTAAGTTTGCAATTATTGAGTCGTTGGTTTAGTTGTATGAATAAATTTCTGATCGCTACATTGCTATTCAGCAAGTAGCAGCGCGTAGCGTTGAAATTCATGAGACCATTCCATGCAAGTACACCATCTCTCGCTTCAAAGTTGATCAAACGCTTCGCAATCTTCCCATATTCAGGTCGAGAATCTTTAAAACTACTTTGGCTCTCTGTTTAGCGGGTTTTCCATTTTAAATTTCGTATATTTTATCGAAAAAGTCCCTGTATTTTCGCTGTATATTTTCGCGAATTTGCGATCAAATTCTGTTCACATATGTTGTTGTTTTCAATAGCGTGGAGAAGCGATTCTCTGATTGATTAATTCACGAATGTTGTGAGAACTGCATATTTCATCAGTAATTTTAATCTAGTTAAGCGTCGTTTCACTGTAGTAATTTTATAAAACAATTACCAAATGGTTTTCCCGTACAGGATAGCATGATCCATGCACTTGGGATGTTGCTCGACTTTTGGAAAGCGTAAAAATACACTCGTCTACGGCTCGTCTATTTTCACGCTTTCCCAATGTCTCGCAACATCCCGCGTGCATGGATCACGCAATCCTGCACGGAAAACCATTCGGTATTCCTTTAATGCTGTATCGACTATCTGCAGGTTACGTGATTTTCGTATATAGCTGTCAATCGAATCATCAGAACACACCTAGTGCATGGCTACAAAGTATAATAATAAGATTGAACTGTTTTTGTCTGGACATTCAATTCCACAGTAATGAATGTTAACCATTTTTCAAAGATTCTGTAAAGATCGAAAGAATGGTTTGAACTACAACACGAGTCTTAAATCTACTTTTCAGATAAGTTTATGTTACTTACTTGCTACGTACAATGCGTAGATATTCTCCGAATACACTTCATCCATCTCATTCTTGACAACGCACTGAATATGTAACGGAAATTTCCTGCCAGTAATAACGATTTTTGAATTGACACGATATGAATTTGTCCCGTTTTGCAAGTCTGCTAGCTTTGTATCAACCACAGCATTTACCGCCTTTTCAGTACTTGTGTAATCGATCATGGAACCATTTAACAACCACGTCACTTTAGGCTCAGGAATCCCCGTGCCTGTGCAGGTCATTTCCAGTTTCCTGTCATCGTATTTAAGTGTAGGAAACAAACGTGAAACATGTGGAGCAACAGGTCCTGGAAATATTGTATTAGCGTAAATGTCAGGGACAAGTTTAGTTATACCCAAATTAGATGAACAATTCTATATCCGTCTATAATTAGAGTTTTCCAACCATTTTGTCAACAGTGTTCGGGCGCGAACTGAGTGTTCGGGAAAACGGGCGCGGACTGAGACTCCAGAGAAATTTAGCAGTCGAACGTACAAAAAAAGGATACTCAGACAACCCTTTTTGGAAAACGTTTTGGTCCGATCGCCAATTCGTTGACGAAAACCTTCGCATCGGCTTGTGCATGCATGGCGTTTATCTTTTATCCACCATAGTCTGCATGCAGTTAATTTAACCTGGGGCCAGTTGTACGAAAGGCGTTTAAGTCGTTATCCACCGTTTAACTCGCAATCTGCCGGATAAAATTTAAACGCTCGAGAAATCGCGTTGTACGAAGCCCGTTTAGCGCTATCCACCGGTTAAATTTCGCCTATCCAAAAAAGCCAAAAATCTTTAAAGAAACTCAGCACAATATGAAAATGAAAAGTTTGATATAGAATTGCAACGAATGGACGAGCAAACTCCAAATATAAACAACAACAAACTTTACAAAAGCTTAGTGGAATTCACAAGTTAGGTAAAGCTTCAAAAGTTTACAAAGGCCTAGCAACAGCTGACGTAGAGGTAAGAAATTTCAAGAAAATCCGGTTTTCTCCGGTTAAATTAAAGGTTATCCTACGGATAGTTAAACGCGGTACTAAACGGGCTTCGTACAACGCAATTTTATCGGCCGTTTAACTATCCGCTGGATAAGAAATTTATACGCTGGTTAGCGGCTAAACACCGTTGAAGTTAAACGCCTTTCGTACAACCGGCCCCAGAACGTTAATTCTGGTCAATTTAGTTTGGCAAAAGGTTAAAATTAACCAGGAATATTCATTTAATAGGTCAAATAGGACTTTCAACCAGAGTTGTTTTAGAGTGATGCAGTAATGGTGTTCATTTAAGGAGGCTCCCTACAGTTGACCCTATTTCCCAACATCTCTGCAGTACAGGCCTATTAAAGCAGATCGTACATTCGTTTCTACTTGGGGACAATGTATAACATAAGTGGATTATTTACAACTCAGCTTTGATAATGTCACTCTTGCCATGGCAACATGGCGAACTGGCGAAGCTATAAAGCCGGCTTATTTTAGCCACAAAATTGTCTTGTATCTGAAAAATAAATCTGGTGACCTATCTTTTTTAATTCACATTCATGAGTATGATCCCTGCAACTGTCGAGAACTAATGTAATAAAATTCTTTATAGCGCGATTTTTTTAAAAGCGAAAATTTTATAACAAAATTTCCACTCTAAAGAATTTTTTAAAATTTGAAATATATAACATTTACTAAATTTATAATTTGTGGTCAAAATTTGAGGATCGGTAACCGATAACAATCTTGAGTAAAATGCAACTGAAATTGTAAAAAAACTCGTGTAACTCGGGAAATTACCCTTATATAAAAGCGTCGCTTTTATTTTTGTCAACTTTTCGATTTATTTGAGTGCCATGGACAGTCAAGGTGTCCATGTGAAAAAAACTAAGAACGTGATCGTTTTCTTGAGAAGTAAACAACTTTTTAAACGTTTATTAAACTTTTATATACAATTTTGCAAATTTTTACAGTTGACAGTGTATATTTTAAAAAGTTAAAAAACATTGCATGTTTCGTACAGTACTGCAGTATGTTTCGTACAGTACCACAGTACTACAGTACAATGGAACAAATTCGTGTTGAATTAGTTGATCAAAACAAGGTTTTAAGCAGCAAGGTAGAAGCTTTAGAACTAGACTTAAAAACCTGTAAATTAAACCTACACGAATTGGAACAAAGGAACACAATTAATTACTCGAATCAACAATGTGGCTCAATTACACCTAAGGGAGATCGGTCGATTAATTCCCAAATAGAGCCTAACAATAACACCAAGGTCGAGGCAAAGATAAATTATGCAAATTCCCACACTTTCAACCAAAGAAAAGAAATCAATCAGGAAACTAAAAGAAATAACTGTGAGCTGTCTCTTGATCAATCCTGTATTGTGGTTGAGGATCAAAGTACAGACATTAATCTAAGCAGGAGTCAACAAGTATCTAAGCAAAATGAGGATAGATGCGGCCTTCCAACTATTATTTTTAACACGCTCCATCAAATACCACAGCACGATCTTACAAACCAGTATTCCATCCCGATGCGTATTACAAGTAGGGAAAAAATACAATCAGTGAACCCAAATTGGCAACGGGATAAACATTCCACAAAAACCTGCCAAGCTAAGGAGGTTTTTCGGAAGAGTCGGAGGGGCAAGCGAAAAGACAAAATGTTGTTCTTTCAATATTATTATTAGATGCCACTATGGAAAAAGAAACGATCATGGGTCAAACCATTCCTGTAAGAATAACAACTCATAACTACAATTGCAAGAGGTTTCGGAATAAATATAAAGCGTCCGATTTTAACTTGGTTAAAATTCCACTAGATGAATCTTTTAAATTTGAACATGTCCCAAAAATAATGCTGTCTAATGTCATGTCACTCGTTCCAAAAGTTGACGAAGTTCGCGAATTTATTCACCGGAATCAAATCAGCCTGGTATTTATCACAGAGACCTGGCTTAAAGCTTCTATTCCTGACAGCGTGGTGAACATTCCCGGTTTTTCAATAATACGTAGGGACCGAATTAACAAATCCCATGGTGGGGTTTGTGCATACGTTAATAACCGAGATGTTAAATATAAACAGATTTTAGAGTTATCTTGCTGCCAGGAGCACGAAATCCTATGGCTGCACCTTAGACCTACTCGTATTTCACGCAAGTTCTCATGTATTATCGTAGCTATAGTATACCACCCCCCAGGAGCAGATGATTATTCTATGAGAGACCATTTATTCCAGTCATTAAAAAAGGCAGAGTCAAAATTTCTAAACTGCGCACTTATTGTTGCAGGTGACTTTAATCGTCTTAATGTTAACAGAATCAAACATCATTTTCACCTGAAACAGATAGTTCAGACTCCTACCCGCAGAAATGCGATTCTCGACATCATCTTAACTAATCTGCACGAGTATTATGAAAAACCTCTAATAATGCCCCCTTTTGGACTATCCGACCACAATACATATCATCTCCAAAGGAAAGAGCTAAAGATCTAATCTCTAATGGCACCACCTTTAAGCGAAATATTAATCCAAGTTCCAAACGAGCCCTGGGAAGATATCTAAACTCGATTGATTGGCCTCTAATTATTCCATCTACTAATGATTGTGATCAGTTATCGAACATGTTTCAAAACATAGTCCTTACTGGGGTTAATATATTAATGCCGATGACACGATCAAAGAAATGTCCTGTCGATGCCCCCTGGATAACGAACCATTTCAAATCGCTGATCATTGAAAGGCAGAAAGCTTTTGCTACCTAGGGCCCTGACTCGAGCAGTTTTAAATCTCTTCGAAACCAAGTAAATCGAGAAAGGAAAATCTGTAAATCAAACTATTATAAACTCCGTGTACATCAAATGAAACAAACAGATTCCAAGGAATGGTGGAAAGAAGTAAAGCGTTTAAGTGGAATTTGGCATCTACTAGATCTAGTGATATTAGAAATATAATAGATATTGAAAACCTCGAACAATTATCTGAGCAATAATTAGCTAACAAGATCAATGAAGCTTTCTTGGATCCCTTATCTGTATATAAACTGTCCAGCCCCCTTCTTCCTTTCGAGCTAGAAGTTAACAACCCTGAGTTCTTAGTAGTCACTGAAGAAACAGTGTATTCATATTTATCAAAGCTGAACCCTACAAAAACTTGTGGTCCTGATGAAATATCAAATTGGCTTCTTCGTGATTATGCAGCTATATTAGCGTTCCCAATTAGTACCATCTTAAATGCTTCCTTCAAGCAACAACGACTTCCATCGATGTGGAAACTACCCAATGTTTTACCTATACGTAAATCTAAGTCAGTTCAAATCAGGGCGCTTATATAATGGGCGGTGAAACGCACTCATAGCGCGCTGATCGATGTGTGATGCGGCAGAGGACTGGCACGAGCGTGCTTTTAAACGAAACTGTCGAAGGAGTGAGATTTTTTGGCGTTGTGATTTTGTCGCTTTTACGCTGAGGATCAAATATATTTCAAGGATTTTTCGACAGATACAGTTAATGCAATGTTTGCTTCAACTTACAAAATATCATTATGCTGAAAGAAGTTGTTCAAAAAGATTTTATCGTGGATGAAAGCTATGCCAATCATAGTCATTGGCGGATTGCAAATTTCAGCAACAGATTAGGACTTGTCAACTTGCAACCCCAGGTTGGATCTTTCAGGTACGTAAAAACCACTATTCATTTGTTTTATATAAGAGATAATGTAAAAATCGGAGTTGAGTATTTTTCTCTGTGCTGACCTAAATGCATACACTTTTTCCGCTGTATTTCTGCCTATTTGGTTGCCTCGTGTATTCAAATTAACTGATTACAGTGCATTTTGAGGTGATTTTCCTACTCTTCGTGAAACAATTTATCAATTTTTGGAAATTTAAGAACACTATATAATATCAATGTCAAACTTTAATGGTATTTCAACCATTTTAGCAAAATATCAAAAACAATCGCCAAGGCTTTTTGCAAAGCGCTTCACATGTAAAAGTGTTACCCCAGCTTAGAAAATTTGTGTGCTCGCAGATGAGACAGTTACCTGTCAACATTTTTTGGAAAAAACCAAGATCTAGTTGAGTATTTTCTGCAAAACGTTTTTTAAAGATAGGACAGTCACCAAATCGAAGATCGTCGAACATGAATCGAACATAGTTTGTCAAAGTGTCATGGCAACGATAGCGTGTGCAAAATCGCAAAATGACGAAGGATTTGTCATATTATAAAATATTTGAAATTGAAATAATTTTTAAATATTTGAAATTTCTTACATGAAGTTATTTTCTAAACAAAATGTGTGATAAACGACGAGCAAGGGATTCAGGAAGTCCGTCTACTTCTACTAAGAGGTTCAAGGAAACAACTAATTGTTTACATTTTTCGACAACAACTATAAATATTGATGAAAATAGTTCAACTATGAATGACAACGAAAGACTTCAACCTGTGAATGATTTTGACAGTATTTTCGCAGAAGCTGAACCAACTTCCCTTCAATATAATGGAAAAATTCCTTTACAGCCTGAGGAACTTCTTCTCTATTGCCTGACAGATGTTGTGTTCCCTTCAAAAAGTCATTTCCCTGTCCAACCAAAACAATATTATTACTTGTCAAGAGCTGTCTATATTGTGTATGGTGTCCGGTTTGATTGCAAAGGTATACAAAACTATTTCTACCGGTCAATCAACAACTTGTCAAAAGGCCTTGGAAATTTTGATGGTCATTTGAGATGGAAGTTTTATTTGAACAGTATCCAAAAAATTGTGACCAAACAACAGTCCTTTCTTCTTAAACTCCTTGATTCAGAGATGTGTGACATCCTGAACTGTGATGAATTAAAAATGGCAATTGAGAATGAATGTTTGGCATGCTTACAAGAGAGTAAACAATCAAAAACTCTTGCATACAGGGTTAGTAAGGATATGGTGAATACTGCAAGTAAGTTTCCCAAATGGAAATTTATCCCAAATGTTCCACAGGCAAATGTACATTTGTATTATCATGGAAAGAGTCCAGTTAAGATTGATTATGAAGTAGTTATAAATGCAAATGGCAGTTATCAATTCTTTCATATGGGGAAACCAAGAACTATGCATATTGACCCTGATATTTTACCACCAATAGTTCACGAAAGAAAACAGTTGCATTTGCTAATGAAATCTCTTGAAAAGTTTAAAATTTGTCCTGGTTTGTCAACTGAGAATTATCTGAGTATACTACCTGATAGCCTTAGTACACCCATATTTAATACTTCTGATGGAAAACCTGGTGCATTTGTCGAAGTAAACCCAATTAATGTTCAAGAACAGGTTATTCGGTCTACCAAATGTGCCATTCTACATTTAGATCAAGAAAATACTTGCTGCAAAGCTTGCAATGACACAAATCATTACCTTAGAACATTAAAATCACGTAGGTCCCAGCAATTGGATAGTACCATTTCAAAATACAAGCGTTATGACTACATGTCCAGAAATGAATTGATCGACCATAGTCGGGAATCAGCAAAAAAGCTTCACACCATGCAAGTACAAACGAAAAGGCTTGAGCAACACCAACAAAACATGAGCACAGTAGGCAGCAACACTGATTCAGAATTCAGACAGTTTTTTCAGGAGTTGTACAGTGGAATAAGAAACAAAATGGAGAAACATGATAACAAGATATGCTATTGGGATAATTGTAATATTGACAGTGAGTTTGATACTCCTGATTTATTAATGAAGCATGTTAAAGATATTCATCTTACGACTGTCAGTCAGAGTGATGTTGCACCTGTTGATAGGCATTATTTATGCGAGTGGTTAGGATGTGGTAAACAGTTTGGTAAGAAAAAGCTACTGTTAAGTCATTTCAATGAACATGTTGGTAATGAATCAGACATGTTTTTTCTAACCCTACTAAAAGATCAAGCAAAAGCTTTAAATGTTCCAGCGAGACAAATGCGGTGGCATCCATTGGTAATTAAATGGTGTTTACGAGTTTATGCTAAATCTCACCATACTTATGAAGATTTAAGGGATTCTGGATTTCTAAAACTCCCATCTCGTAGAACCTTGTCTGACTACAAGAATTACTGCTCTTCCAAGTCAGGATGGCAAACATCAGTTCTCCAAGCAATGAGTGACAACTTCAATGAACAAGGATTTTCCCAAGTTGGGAAATGTGGTGGACTATTCTTTGACGAGGTAAAGATTAAGGAAGGCCTAGTTTTCGATCCATCAACATGGGAATTAGTTGGTTTTGTGGATATAGACAATGAAAAACTACATACCGGCAGTGATTCTGACATTCAGGAAAACCATGCAACTCATGTTTTGCAGTTCTACTTTAAAAGTATATTTTCCAAATTCCAGTTTCCATGTGCATACTTCTTAACTCGAGGAATTTCTGCACAAAACCTAAACCATCTATTTTGGCAAGGAGTTGGATTATTGCAAGGTTATGGATTCACAACGATTCTTTCATGCTGTGATGGAGCTGCTGAGAATAGGGCTTTCATGATGATGAATGGTGTTAATGAGGAAGTGAGCCAGACAAACAATCCATTTTCACATTTCCCTGTGTTCTTTATGTCTGATCCACCCCACTTGATCAAAAAGCTTAGAAATAATGTTTACAGCAGTGGATATAAGGAAATATCTCCAAGATATACAAGATGTTTATTGTTGAACTCCAAAACTATTTTATGGGACCACATATACTCAGTGTACCAAAGAGAGAAAGATCGGCATATATATGCAACAGATATAAGAAGTTCACATGTTAACCTGGATAGTATTAGTAAAATGAGAGTCAAGCTTGCTGTACAAGTGCTTAATTCCAAGGTTCAAAAGGAAATGGAAAGTTGTGATCCAGCTGCTACAGAATCAACTAGATTGTTCATTTATAACTGTGACAAATTATGGAAAATCTTCAATGATACAAACCCCCTTTCTGCAGCCACTGATCCTAGAATAAAGGAACTGGATAATGTGATAGAATTTTTCAACAGTTGGAAGAATGAACTTGCTACCATGTTTAGAACTAAATCAGAAATTGCATCACACTTTATCACTTGGCAAACTATGTTTGATATGAAAGTATAACCGTATAAATGTCTGGTTTACCCTTGCAATATATTTCAAATTGACATTCGATATTTCAACATTATTATTACACCCAAATTGTTCATTCGAAAATATGTTTGTCTGTTAATTCTAGTGTAAAATTCATACTTTGTTGAAATAATTATTTTTCTATTCATACTAATGTAAAATTATATTGTTTTCTTTTACAGGTTTCAGTCAATGGCATTAAAGGTATGGTTTCATTTGTGGAAAGTGTGATGTTTCAGTCCCTTTATCCAGGGAATCATTACATTATTCCTAAGAGGCTTAGTCAGGATGTTGTTGAGTTTTTTTTTCCATGCAAAGGCAGTCCTGTGGAGGGACAAACAATATGACTGCATATACATATGGGTATAACATAAACAGCACACTTGCATCATCAACCAAGTTGCTATCAAAGAAACAGACAAATGTATACGAAACTGATGATGTTGACCTTGGACAGCAGCCACAGAGTTGGTCCAGTCTTCCAAAGAGGGACAATGTTCAGGGCATATTTCATAAAAATCTTTGGCCAGTACATCTTTAAGCTGTTGTAGTTTTGAAATAACCCTATTTATGCAAAAAAAATGGCACCAATAATACACCTGGCCATTTATTGGATACTTGTTCCAATGTTCTCATGTTTCATGCACAATAGGGTTAGGGATTATGGGTAGGTTTGTGATTGGATCAAGATGATATATTTGTGCATGAAACATGGGGGTGTAACCTTAATGTGTGCTTGCCATCCGAAAACATGGAAACAGGGTCATTGGGCCAATACCACAGAATACTATACAGAAGTCTGCGAGTGACTCCATTGTTTTTTGCGTAAGCGCTATTCATCATGATTCGTCACTTAGCAAGTACTGTAAACAGAAGCGGTTACCCCCTGGAAATATTCAGAATGGCACACATCCAGGGGGGTAACTCCTTCTGTTTACAGTACTTGCGAATCATGATGAATAGCACTTACATACAAAACAATGGAGATGGACTTCTGTATAGTATTCTGTGCCAAAACATCCATAAATAAAACACTAGAATCTATTTGTTGTAAAAAGATCTCCATTCTTTCTGGCCTACTTTAAACATGGCATTGCCTACCAGTGCACCGATATGTACCAGTGAGACTTATTTCCATATAGTACATTATACATGTACATTGTAACAGTGGTAGACACTTTGTGAAATGTTGGGGGTGATGAGCTTATATCGCTCTTGGAGCAAATGCATAAATATGTTTAAAATAAAAATAATAAATGTTGGGTGTGGGGATTAGGCAACCCTCATACACAGGGTATTTCCTCTTGGAGAGAAAAGACCTTGGCTAGAGGGGAAAGGACTCTGGTAGATGCTATTCATGTGATCTGCTAAAATTTAGCAGATTGCTAAATATAATAACTATCTTGGATTCCCTTACAACAATCATAGAAAATGCAAATTATAAATTAATCTCATCTAGGATTGCTAATTAAAAATCTGCCAGATTTCAGCAGATCATGTGGCTATCTCTTACATGGGTGTTTTCGCCCCAAGAGGAAAGACCCCTGTATATAAGGTTGGGGTTAGGTTGTCAACATATGACCACCTTTTGTAGCTGGAAATCTTAGAACATATATGGATCCAGTTCACTAATACTATAAGGTAAATATTTTGGTTAATTCTCAGGGCTTAAAATAAATATTTTAAATTTTAAATATGTTTGTAGGCTGTTTGGTCCACCTGCCTTTTCAGGTTTCAACCTCTGGTATGCTGAACATGAATATCATGGACATAATATGATCAGTAATATGAGAATTACAGTAACATCTACAAGGACTGAAGGCCCATTGAAGATTGTCAAAAAATATAAAATTGGCAGCAAAAGTAGACAATGTATAAGTTAGAATGATGTTTCGTTCAGCATGGCTCTTTTGCACATACTCTGGGCCATGGCGCTTATATAATTATATAAGCGGCCTGCTCTGGGCATCCATTTCATTATACGATATAGCCTGTGTTTAATTAATGTGTTTTTGTATCAAACGTTTGACTCTTCTGGTGGGTATTCTTATTCTAATATAATCAACAATCTCCAAGGACTAAATACTGTAGTTTGTTTACAATTTGTTTTGACTAAATCCATCATTGATTCTGTTGCTTTTCTAATGATGGTCTTCACTCGAAATGTCAAAGTTTATATTTTTGGCTGCCAGAGAGGGCCTTTTGCATCTGCTCCTGGTTAGGTCTATTAACTGTGGTTAGGTCTAATAAATGTATATATAATGTCTACTCAAATTTCCATGTACATATCCCTTCTAGTAATAGCATTATCTTTTGCTGTAAGGGATGACCATTAGAAAAGTGACGGGGGGGGGGGACATTTCCAACCTGTACGGTTATTTTTTTGCTTGTGTCGATAGTTTTTTTTTAATAATCCCTTGCTCGATTGTTGGCGAGGGGGGGGGGGAATTTTCAGGAAATACAAATTTTTTCAGGACAAAGAAAGGGTAAAAAAAAATTTCCCGCACTAACATCACTTTAGTTAACGTTCAAAACACATTTTCCCTGACAAATTCTTGTTAAAACATGCTTAAAATGCTTTTTTGCACCAATATCTGCAACATTTAGGTTTAGAAATGTTTTCTCACACCATTAGGCCCTGTCAACTTATAATTTTCCCTATTGAAAAGTCTCTGCACGAATTTTTTTTTTACTTTT